GAGCTGGCCTCCAGATCTAAGCACTGCATATAACAGTTTGGGAAGAGAGACAACACTCTCATTTCCAAACTACTAACAATTCGCAATTCACATTTTGGAAGAAAACATGTCTATAAACCTGAAACTTCTTGTCTAGCTACTGGCACTATAAAGAATTTTGGAATTCTTCTCCTTGAAGATGTCTAGGGAGATAGACATACGTCTAATTCTCATGCCTTAAGCCTTCATCATATTCAGAATGGCCCAGACTTAAAAAATTAAGATGTGGCCTACATCCTATGTACACTTGAAGTTCTGAGTTAGGTTGCTATTATCTTTTCTTGTTCTAAACGAAATGACCCAAATTTCCCTTAGTCTCTCTTTGTAGGCACCCTTCCTGTTCTCTGAGTACTGTTCTCTGTTGCTCTTCTGGCTCTTCTTATTACTCTTGGTTCCCCAACAGGGACTAAAATACCTTCAGGGCACAACTGTACTAATATGCTTTATAGTTTGAAAAGAATTCATATATCTCTAGGAGAATCTAGTTTGTTGCTGGGGAGGGACTTAGACTAGTGGACTGAAATCTACAGATCTACAGATTACTGTTTTGCTTCCAAGTTTCCATTAGATTTCTTTATTTAACGGTTTAGCTGCAGCTAATCTGTAGATGGTCTCCAGATTCTTATTACATAAAGATCAGATTCTGAATTTGATCTCTAAGTGCACAACACTGCCCCACCCCAAACCTGAACCACAGGTCTTGCTGTGAACAGACTGTGCCCAGTCCACCTGGTCCCTAGGATTTTTCCGAGTTGGACTGGAGAGTAAACTCCCAGGCCTGCTCTCCCAGGCAGGGGTCCCCCGATGCATGGTGCGCCCAGCCTCGATTCTTTGGTTCAGTACGTAGCCATAGAGCATCTACTTGGCGCCAGACCCATCTGTTGTGATTATGTTAAACCAGTAAGAAAGGGACAGGAAAATGACTGTCCCTTTTAACAAGATAAAGAGATCCTGTATGGTGTCAACTGTCACTGCAGCAGAAAGAACCATGGACTTGTCACTTTGAGACTTAAAACCAAACCTCCTATGAAACCATTTCTCAGCACTGCCTTTTCCTCTCCAATGTATTGTCAGTATGTCCAGTAACCCTTGGCTCCCTCATCTTGTCTAAGATGCTGTGAGCTGAGCCACTTCCGAGTTACTATATCCTGCCCCTCACCTTTCTATCCTCTGGGTTTCTAAGAGGAAGCCCTTTCCTTTCCTGGGGTCCTGGAGGGTCTTCACCTCACATGCCTATGTCAGCATTTACAGAATTAAAATTTTCTTCTTCCAATACCGCACACACACACACACACACACACAAATGGGTGGGGCAAAAGTAGGTTTACAGTTGTGAGTACTCAAAACACAGAGTTTATTCTTGTACTCTTTCTTGTTAATTACTGAATTGTTTTTCCATACTAACAACTGTAAACCTGCTTTTGTCCACTCCTGTATATAGCAAAGTTTAGCCAAGCTGCTCTGAGAGTTCTTTAAAGGACATTAGGGCCCCCCAAAAACAGGGACATAGGCCCCAGGGCTTTTCCCCTTTGGTAACATTCCTGGAGTCCCCTAGGTACTCTCACAATCTTCATTCACTCTTGGGTATAAATGGCTGGTAGCAAGTTAGCAATCATTCTTTGTATTTTACAAGAGCTCATAACCTCAGGGGAAAGAGAGGAAGGGCTCCAGGGTGAGATTTCAGGCAGAATTCGGTGGGACAGGGTGGAGGGGGAGAGTTGGTTCTAAGGCAGCTACACTCACCACCTCCCACCACCACCTCATATATCTGGTCTGGTGTCCTGGGACCTGTCGTGGTTACTGTTCCCACGTTGGAACCTACATGTTGCTCCTGTGTGAGCCCGGCCAGCCCCTGGAAGGTCACTTATCTCCCAGACTGGAACGTTCAGAACCTGACTGAGGACCGTAAAGGAAGCAACTCACCCTCTGAGCAGTGAAAGTCGGCAATACGAAGTTATTTCTGGAGCACAGGCAGACACCTACAGGGGGGTCCCCATGCAGCACCCCTGCACCCTTCCTTTCAATCCCCAGACCCTTGGTCACAATTTTTCCAGGTCACATTGATCAAACGTAGCAAACTGAAAACAGACCCACTGTGTAGCAGCAGTGACAGCTAACAGCCTGGGCCAAAGGAGCAGAGAGACGAAAGCTGACAGGAAAAGTCAAAAAGGGGCGTTTAGTGAAGGGCCAAGGGGCTTACCACACCCTCTCTGGTCCCTGGAGATGTCACTGAACTGTCTTACAGCCCGGCACAGTAATTCTCACTGAGACTATAGTTCTGAATTCTCCAGGTCGTTTAAACGGTGTCAGTGTAGCCTGGTTTGGAAGGTGATTCTCAGTCGCCGGGGAAAGGGCGGCTGCGCTGAGCACGCCCCCTCCAGGGCAGCCGTGTCACTGCACCGCGAAACCGCCACCTGGGGGCCCTGGGCGGGAAGCCACCTACCTCTGAATGTTGTCTTCCAGCTGTTTCACTCGGAACTCCTCCTCCTCAGACTGCCGCCTCCGGGCCTCCTCCTCCTCGGCGGTCCCGGCAGGCACCCCCTGCAGCAGCCACTTCTCCCGGAGGAGTTTGGACTGTGGGAGAGAGACAAGAGAACAGGCCGGATGGCACCTTTCGGCCGCGGCCCCGCCTGGCTGCGCCCCCTGCAGCCTCCCTCCCGCCCAGCCCCCGGAGGGGGGTTTACGTCTACATTTGCTATTGCAAAACATTTCGAAAGTGTGCAGAAAAACAGAAGGCCCTGCAGAATGAATGCCCGTCTAACCTCCTTTAGATTTAACAATCATGAACAGTTGGCCATGCTTTCTCACATATATTTTTCACCAAAGCATTATAAAGTAAATAATAACCATCATGCTATTTCACGCATACGTATTTCAGTACAAATTTCTTTTTTTTTTTTTTGATAATCCTCACCCGAGGACATGCTTAGAGAGAAGAAGGGAAAGCGAGAGAAACATCAATGTGAGACAGAAACATCGAGAAGTCGCGTTCCATTCAATCCCCAACTGGGGATCAAACCCGCAACCCAGGCTCGTGCCCTGACCAGGAATGCAACTAGCGACCTCTCGGTGTACGGGACAATGCTCAACCAACTGAGCCACACCGGCTGGGCCAGTATGAATTTCTTTTTAAAAAATGACATATTTTTATGCAACTACAGTTGCATTATAAAATTTCCTAACGTCACCTAATAGTCTATCTAAAAGTCTTCTTTATAAAAGATTAATCTATACCATGCCTCTTCTTAAAAACTCTTCCATGACTCCTACCTGTCCTCAGCAGTGGTCTCCTAATGGCATTCAAATCATGCGCCCACTCTGTGCCAGGGCCCTGATATACTATGGAGTGAAATGAAAAGTTTTTGTGTTTCAGGTCCGTTGTTGGGAAGGAGTGATTACTGATTTGAGAAGGGAAATGAAAATAGCTCAAGAAAAAGGCATGTTGAAACTCCCTAAAATAAAGAGCAAGATGAAGAAAGTAGGTAAAATAGTTTTTAATTTGGGTTTCTATTACATAGACCCTAGATGGCAGGTGGCAGCTACTGGATGTCTGCAGAGGCTGGACCCTGGGCACCATGGCAGAGTGTCCCCGTAGACAGATGGATGGTAATAGAAATGGGCCACTGTGAAGACTCATGGCCACATCTGCCAGAAGCAGGGTACGTGGCCATTTCTTCCCAGCAGCAACAGGAGTACAGCACTGAGTTCCTTGGCTCCCTGACAGCACCTCTATCAGAATCTTACTTAACCTCCTGAGGCAGGGCGAGCAAGATGAAAGGAAAGGGAGCTCTCAATGACTAAGAGCCAGGCCGTGCATGGCTCAGAGCCAATTAAATGTCATTTGCAGAAATGAGAGCGTGGGATATGTCTCTAAGATTGTGGGCACAAAACTCACACTCACTGCAGTTTCCTTTCTGTTGCTCTTATGAGCAAAAGATGCGCAATTCCATAGACTCTCGTTTTTACATGGGATTCAGGGCTTCTTATTATGAACCCATAAGATGATAAATTACAGTTCACCAGTGGTTCTGATTCACCAGCCCACTAAGAAAGTCCAGCAGCCATTCAGCACCGGGGAGACCCTGCCGGATGCACACAGGCAAGTTCTGCTGGCTGGAAATCCCGCACTTGCAGAAGGACCTTCTGTTAGCAATGCTGCACCACTGTGGTGTCGAGGTAGCCATGGTTTTCTCTGGTGTTCTTCTTGCTTTTTAATGATAAACCATTGTTGGTGGAGATCTGTTTGCTTATTCTTAGAGTACACAGAGAAGCATATTTATAGCACTTCACCTGTAGCTTTCCATTAATTAGAGACAGGAGTCTGTCCATATGTAAGGCATTCCTAACTGTACTACTAAAGGGACTGTTGGCAGGAACCGACGACCCCTCACTCCAGCATGCTTAAATAGTGACACATCCATCATTCACTGGCAACACACTGCCTGCAAATGTACTATATGTAAATAGTTTGCAACTTCTGCCAAGGAAAGTATACAAAAGTATTTAAAAATTTACAGCGCATTTAAAAATAGTATAAAATTATGTGTAAAAACTCACAGCGTAATTTGTTTACTTTGCTGCTCTCACTTATGAGCTGAATTGTGCCCCATCCCCACACTCACATGTTGAAGTCCTAACCCCTACTACCTCAGAATGTAACTGTATTTGGAAATAGGGCCTCTAAGGTTAAAGGAGATCATTGGGATATGCCCTAACCCAATAGGACTGGTGTCCTTATAAGAAGAGGGATTAGGAGACAGACATGCACAGAAAGAAGACCATGTAAAGACACCTGAGGAAGAGAGCCATCTACAAGCCGAGGAGAGAGGTTTGAGAAGAACCCAACCCTACTGACACCTTGACCTTGGACCTCAGCCTCCAGATGTATGAGAAAATAAATTTCTGTTTAAGCCACCAAGTCTATGGTATTTATTATGACAGCCCTCGCAACTACTACACTCTCCAAGGCTTTATCTCTTTCCATTGGAAAATGGGAATGGGTGGGATAAATTGGCTGGGTGTCCTAACTGGACTCCAGAAGGAAAAAAAATTCAGAAGCACTGTTTTCCATTCAAGCCACTCAAAATTCCCCACACAGATCATGCTCACACACAACAAGAGGCCGTGTGGAACAGTAATTAACAGCCTGGATTCTGGAGCCATTCTGCCCACTTATTAGCTGTGTGGTCTTGGCCAGACTCTTTAGCCTCACTGAGCCTCAGTTTCCCCATCTGTGAAACGGGCATGACAACAGAGCCCATCCCAGGTTTGTTGGAAGGATTAAATGAGCTCATACACTGAAAGTTCTGGGCCCACACTCCGCACTAGAGAAAAGTTTATTATTGTTGTTCATCTGGCTCCCTTGGCCTCTCCCACTTTCACCAGAGAAAGAGCAGGTGAGATGCCACCCGAGAAGCCTTCTTCCACTCGGCGGCTGGGTCAGTGGCTCTGCTCTGTTTCCGTTGGCAGAGAACATGCTCGAGAGCACGTCCCTACTGTCCTCAAATTATTTCTTCTTAGCTCTTCCCCCCGTTAGACTCCCAGCTCCTCAAAGGCTGGGACTGGTCCTTAGTCACCTTTGCATCTTCTTGTCCCATGTACCCCAGGTCCAGAGATGAAGTGAGTAAACGGGTGAACTGGAAAATTCTCTATTTTCTTTCCCTCTAATCACTTGGGGGCAGAGGTGTCACACTTTCGGAGTGCTTCCTGTGCTAAAATGTTTGACAGTGACCTGGTTCAACCCGTAGAAGGTAAAAACCTTATTAGGATACAGGGAGACGGATATGCTGGCAACCTCGGGCCTGCTGTGTGGACCTTTCTGGAAAGGCAGCCAAAGGCAGTTCCGGTTTTCCCTGCCCAGCCAGGGCTTCTTGAAATGCAAGAGAGGGCTGCCCTTGGGGATGTTGTCTTCTCTCTTCCACCACGGGCAGGGTCTAACTCCCTCGCTCTGGCTGAGTTAGCCCCCCGTCAGTCAGTGCCTGTGACGAAAGCAGCCTGGTGACCATGATCACGGGAGGCCCATGTGCCCCCAGATCTGTCTCTTCTCTGGATATGGCAGTGACATCCCCAAAACACCCCCAGCAGCTGCAGCCAGGAAGAGAGGGTTTAACAGAACTAGACGGCAGGCAGCGTCTCGGGGAAGTGTGTTGCACAAAGGTGATCCGACAGGGCAAAACCGAAAAGCAGAGCTGGTTTCCCACTGGCTCCGAAGTCCCGCTGTCAGGGGAAGCCACCATGTCAAGTGCATTGGCCTCCCAGGCTTCCTGAACCCGCCCGGGTCCTCTCGCGCTGCGTGTGAGGGCCGACCGCGTGGGAAAGGTCTCCGAGCGCTTGGACATGTGAGCGGAGGCCTGAGATACTGCACCGTGCACCCTCATCACGCACACCCACCAGAAGGCCCGCTCCCCTCTGTTCCAGCTCTAACCGGCTGCCCGCGTGTCTCAGGATTAAGTGGCAAGCAGAGCTCAGCAGAAGTGATAACTGAAAGTGAAAACAATTTGCCCTTTTTGTGCAAATAACACACATAAAAAATGTATCATAGCCCACGGGTGCTAAGAACTTTCAAAACTTCACAGATGCTGCCCTGGCCGGGTGGCTCAATTGGCTGGGCATCGTCCGTACACCAGAAAGGTCGCAGGTTTGATTCCCGATCAGGGCACTTACCTAGCTTGTGGGTTCAGTCCCCGTTGGGGTACGTACAAGAGGCAACGAATTGACATTTCTCCCTCTCTCCCCCTCTTTTTCTCTCTCTCTCTGCCCCTCTCTCTCCTTTCCTCTCTCTATGACATATGCTTGGGTGAGGATTGAAAAACAAGAAACAAACTTTGCATTTGTCAAATGGATGCGACTGTGAAGGGTCAAGACAAGGAAGGAGCAGAGAGCTGGCGGTAAAGAGACGGAGCCTTGCCCGAGGCTCCCGGAAAGCAGGGCGGGGAGCAGGCCTGGAGTAAGTCTGGTCCTTACTCCAGGGGCCCATCCAGCTTTGTAAAACAAGAAGGGGACAGGGCCTCTCAGAGGGCAGCACGCGTCTGGAGCAGCAGGAGAGCTCGCTGACAGTCTCCAGGGCCCCACTCCAGAGACGCTACTGCTGTAAGTCCAGGGCAGGGCCCGGGCATCTGAATTTTAACAAGCTCCCAGGTGAGGCTGCTGTTGACGCTGCTGGTCTGGGGACCATAATTTGAGTAGCACTGCATGAGGGCCTGTGACTATCCAAATGCTTGAAGAATGCACAAGCTCTCCCGCTGGCTAGCCGGACACAGTAACCCCAAAAGGAGCTCCTCACGCTCCCCCATCTCGGGCGCAGCAGTGCCCGCCTCCCATCCATTCCCTACGTGATAGAAAGGATGAGACATAAAGGTCCCTTTACGCTGCATACCCTGGCTGTCTGTTCAATATTTTAAAATTTGACATTGGCCTTTCACACACACTAATAATCAAGAAAAGTCTAAAATTAGTGATAAAGGCTCGTAATAGAGAGACACACTGTAATATCTTTGCAGCAAGGCTCCTGATACCTTCAGGCTATTCAGCAAATGACCTTGGTGGGTTGACAATAACTATTTCACAGGGTCACAATTCAGTCTTTGACTTTTTTTTTTCCCATTCCGTCTTCTTGAAAGAAAAAGCTGTGATTTAAAAAATATGATGACAATTTTCATAGCTTGGATTTGAGGAAAACTCTAGTCAGGGTCCCCTGCTCATGAATAAGTAATTCAAAGGCAGCTTATGTCGTGAAGAGGCGGTATTAGCAATTTATTCTGACAGTGCTGACTCTGTCACACAAACCTTTATAAATGTGACAGTCCCAAAGGAACTCATGTGGCAATACGTACTGTGCTGGGACCTTGAACTGACCAATAAAATAGACAAATCTCTGGCAATTCAACCAAGAGGCAAAGGCAATATTACGTTCGGTCTGCTCTGGTAGAATACAACAGTTGATTTATTTTTTTAAACTCACATTATCACAAGCCACATAATAAAAACAATAAAAAATAAATAATTGTTTCCAGGGAGTAAGAAGCCAAGACAATTTTTCAAGAGAAGAGGAAGAGCTTTTGCCTTATGACATATTCTAACATATTAAAAACCTCGAGGGAGTGAAGGAGGTGGTGTTGGCACCAGGATGGCAGATGAATGGACGAAAAGAAGCCACAAATGGTGGGCCTGAGGATAAGTGAAAAATATGTGTGTAATCAAGAAGACTTTTAAATCAGTGAAGGAAAGAATGAATTAACCGATAAATCGTGTAGAGACAACTGGCTCCCCATCAGTAAAAAGTAAAGTTATTCCTACCTCATACCTTATAGGAAAATAAATTCTAGCTGGATTAAAACTATTGAAAGAATCGCCATACAGGTAAGTGTCTGAAATGGAGATATTCATTCCAAGGATAACATCAAAACCAGAAATCATAATGTTAAAAGAACGTCAGGTGGGATTCCATAAAATTATAAAGTTTTGTATGAAAATTTGAAAGAGCCCATTCACAAAAATTTTTAAAAGAGGTCGAGATCAATGTATTTTAGATACAAATATTAATATAATTTCACTTTACTCATGGACTGATGAGGCATGTGAACAAAGGTATATATCTTAATCTATAAAACTATATTGGGGGAAAAGTATAGAAGGATATACCATGTGAGTTATATCTAGGTGGTGAGTATGTCCATATGTTTTTTTCTTTATCTTTTCCTGTACTTTTAAATCACACTTTTGCAGGGATTATATATTCCTTCCTTTTTTAATCAGCAAAAAATAATACAGCTATTAAAACTGCTTACTGGTCTCATATGTGAGCATTTTTTGGAAATTGTTACATCACACATATTAGATACTAAATACAGCTAAGGATCTTGGAAAGAGAAATCTGAGTTTAATTTGTCCAGGACTTCAAAGAACCTGGCGGTTTCCTAATCACTGGGGTGTGGCAGCTAATATATCAGCATTTCATTCTTTGGTCCCTCGCTGCATTATAGCTTTTGTTCATTTTCCATATATAAAGTCATGATATTCTATTTTGTGGAGTTACTCATGGCATAGCCCTAAATATTATAATTAGCAAGTGTATTAATCAATCATGTGAGTATCAAAACTACTGTCTTGCATTCTATTTATCTGCTTTGACACGAGATCAGTGAATCTGCTAAATTATTCACATCTCATTGCATGAGGATGTATCCATGGACTATTTGGTCATGAGAATTATAACTTAATAAATATGAAATCTAATTCTATTGCTTTTCCATTTAATTTAACTTTGCATTGAGAATATTTATTTCCTAGGGAACATGTAGGATTCTGTAAACTGATGATATAAATATTAATTACTGATATATTTCCTAATATTTTCTACTTCAAGGAATGACCAGTAATTACTGTGATATGCCTCCACACGGTCTAAATTTCTGGAGTCCATGAACATGTACTTAAAGAGTCATGTGATGGTGATGATGGTAAACACATGTGATGATGGTGGTTGGCATCAGACAAATTACTCAAAAGAAAACATTTCATTTGAAAAAACAGTGTCCAGGAGAAAGCAAGGTTATGGAGGCAGACAGCCCTGGGGTTGAACCCGGGCACCCACAATTACAGTCTCTAAGCTTGGGAGAAAATTACTTGGTCTCACAAATTAGTTTCCTTGCCTAGAAGACAGGGAGAGTAGTATCGGCTTTGTGGTCATTAATGAGGGGACACATTTAAAGTCCCAAGCAAGTAACAGGCACTCGGGGGGAAAAGAGACTATTATTGAGAGTGGACAAGGCAATGACAAGCCTGCTGCTGCCAGCAGGAAGCTGGCTGAGTCTCCACCAAGAGGCTCACAGAGCATCCGTAACCTCAATGAATTTACTACCATGTGGGAGGGAGGCTGCCAAGCTCGAAGTGGAATGATAGCGGGGAAGGTGACTCACGCTATTCAAGTTCAGTCAACAGGTAACTGATTTGAAGCAGAACATACTCCTTTCTGGTGCCTGAAGTGATCATCTCTCAGTCAGGCATCACCTTCCTTGTATTAAAATAACTCAGCTATCTGGGGGAGGCTGGAGTCAGAACAAAGAGAGGTAGAGTCATGAGGGAAGTTTCACCCGAGTCATGGGGAGGCCGAATGACTCTCCTCGCCTAACAGCAGACCCCACCTCACACTGTATGGAAACCCGGTACCTCCCAGGGCCGGGTCTCTCTCCAGAGTAGTACCCGATACCCCACCTTTGGCACCTCTGGGCTTCCCTTTTTCATTGTTCAAGGCTAGCGATCCACCCTCATTCTGTCTACACAGGTCTTCCCCAGAGAGAGAAAATTACAATACACTGGTCTCCACTTATTAAATTACCATCACTTCCAGTCCTTTCTCCCCCAGATTATGGCACGATCACCATGGTGAATGTCCTAGGCGTTTCCTTAGATAGCCAGAGAAAATGAGAATTTTACCAAGATAACCGTTAAGAACTATCTGAGTCCCTTGTTTCCAAGTCTTGGAGGAATCTCACTGCTCGCCCATGTAATAGTCATTTTTACTGTTGTTTCTGTTGATTGGATGGATGGATGGATGGATGGATGGATGGATGGATGGATGGATGGAAACAAGGATGGATGGATATGTGGAGGGTGGGGGACGAGGGAGGGAGGAATGGGGGTAAAGGAAAATGGAAAGGTGGAATATGAACAGGCTGTTGTAGCACTGCGCTGACATCAGTCGTGAATGGGTCCTTGGTGTCTCATTTGGCACCAGAATGAGAAGAAGCTGGACGAAAGCAACTTGACCTTCTCACGGGTGCTTATTGCCTGACGTCTGATGGAAGGAAGGGAAAGGCAGAGGATCGCACTGACCTCGGAAAGGAGAGAGGCTGTCTGGTCAAAGCAGCCGCTCATCCTTCAGTCCCCTTGTTAACAAGTTCACCTTCAACTAGGAATTCACCGAGATTTGAGTACATTGTGCTCTTTGTAAGGAGTGAGTTGACCTGTACGCTGGGCCGGAGACCCAGCTCTGTCCCGATTGACCTTGAACAGTTCACCTGGTTTTATTAAATGTTTCTCAGCTCCCCTGTCTGCGAGGATAGGACACTAACTTTAGCCCTCAGTCCTCCCACAGGAATGTTCTAAGGAAAGAGCAATGGCATATGGGACACACTGCGAGCTCCTGCAAAGAAAGGCCATAAATGGATTTACACGAGGAGCAGAGAGAAAGGGCAATATTCTCAGTATCCTGCTGCGGTCCCTCCCTTTAAGCGCATCCCTCTGCTTAAAGTTAATGGCAACGTAAACACGCTAAGCAGATCTGGGTCATGTTGCTATTTGAAATCAGCGGCCAGCTTGCCGAGGATTTACATTTTGAGGACTCATTTAGCACTGCGCTGTCTTCCAGAGGAGAACGGGAAATGCCACCATAAAGGTCCCCCTTGCTCAAAAAAATTCAAATAGCCCAGAGCCAGCAGGGCCCAGCAAGGCAGCCCCACCTTCCCCACCAGCCCTGGAGCCGCAGTTCTGCACGTGCGAGGTCACTGCCGCTGGCGGGGAGCGGGGTCCGCCTGGGAAAGCCGGGGAGCCCGGCAGGCCGGCAGCCGCTCCCGCGGGCCCCTGGAAGGTGCTCAGGCTTATCCCTGCGCCTGCAGGAAGCAATGTTCTGCAACCAGCGGAGCTGTGTGACAGTGACAGAGCTTTCTGCTGGGCTGTAATCAATTACGGTGCTTAAGTGCATGATGTTTTCAAGAAAAATAAATAAATAAACAGCTTGTGCTCCCTCCCCACCCCCGCCCCCCTCTTTAACTCCATGCTTTGGAGACCCAACCAGGTCAACTCATTTCAAGGCTGTCTTTTGACCAACTGCTTGTTCTCACAGAACACTTTCAAAATTGGTAAAGTAGAGAAAAAAAACAAATGAATAGGAAAACCGCAGGGCTGCTTCATCTCACTGCTTTCACCTCCCCCCCCCCTTTTCTCCATAGCAAGAAGGAAAGTTGCTAATATATATTTTTTTAATTTTAAAAAGGAGCATTATGTTAACTATATCTATGGGAACCTGGGAACACACACACGCGGCACCTGTGCACGGGAGACACAGCCCCGGACACTCCCTCACCCACCGTGTGGAAATTCTCTTCCAGTTTCTATATATAACCACCACATTCACATGCACGCCCCCACCCCCAAACCTGTCCACACGCTCGCTATAATCTCACGCCCGCAGCCACTGGAACGCTGCAACAATGCCCTGAATTGGAGAAATTCCCAAGAAAAGCCCAGGGCCGGTTTCCCGGCGGCAGGAAAGAGCCAGCGCAGCGCGGCAGCCTCTCGCCGGCCCTGCCCAGCTCCCGCAGGGTGAGCCGTGTCTCGTCGTGGCAGAGGCCCCGGGTCGCGTTGCGCTTACCTTGCAGTGCTGCAGCAGCAGGATCTGCTCGTCCAGCTCCTGTCGCTTGCCTTCTATTTCAGTCTGCCTCTTTCTTTTTTCCTTGAAAATAAAGAGAGAGAGGCTGTCAGAGCGGGTGGGTGGTGGCTGCGGGAATTTTGAGGCAGGAAGCAGCAGCAGCGCACATCTGCACAGACACTTGCAGAGATGCCGGGCACACACGCAGTGTCACCTGCCCCTCCGTCTCTGGGTGTGTTGCAAACAGCAGCATTCTCCTAACATGTCTGCTGTGGGCTTGGTGAGTGGGAGCAATTCTCCTCCCTCAGCCAGGCTGCAACAATTTAATCCAGAAGAAAAGGCGGTTTCTGCACACACACACACACACACACACACACACCCCGCAGCATGTTCTGTGCAGTGTTAATTTGGAGACAAAGAATAAAAATGTCTCCATCGGAAACACAGAAGCTGCAAATATGATAGAATAAAACAGTGGGAATTCTAGGGTACATTTCTTTCATGGAAATCCTATACACAAATAATACAAGGTAATTTCAAATTTTGTAGGACAAGTCACCCAGTTGGACAGAACAAATGATGCAAACTAGATGGGTGATCTTTATAAACTAGCTGTGTTGGGGGTCGTTTCATGTGGGTGGGGCTTGCTGAGGTTCTGGTAAATATGAACTCTGGGGTTGGTCTGCCTGCATCCAACTCCCAGCTCTACCACTTGCTACCCATAGGACCTCTGGTAAGTTCTTTTACCTCCTGGGTCTAAGTCTTCTCTTGCATAAAGAGGAGACAATAACTGTACCCAAACTATATGGTTGGGGGCAGGTATTAAATGAGATAATACATATAAAGGACCTAGAGCAATGCCTGGCACACAGTAAACACTCAATAAATGTTACTTGCTATTATTCTTATTGCCACGTACCATTTCTAGGTAATGCCTAGAAATTGGTTTTAAAGGGATATATTTCCCTTACATTCACAGCATAACCTCTCTACTGGAGTGCACACTTACACTTTTCTTCTCCATACTTTGCAATAAACATCATATGACTGGGTATTTATCCAAAGAAACCCGAAACACTAATTCGAAAAGACATATGCATTCCTATGTTCATTGCAGCATTATTTATAACAGCTAAGATATAGGCACAACCTAGTGTCCATTGATAGACAAATGGGTAGAGAAGAGATAGTAGTACATATATATACACAATGGAATATTACTCAGCCACAAAAAAGAATAAAACCCTGCCATTTGCAACAACACAGACGGACCTAGAGGGTATTATGCTAAGTAAAGTAAGTCAGACAGACAAAGACAAATACCATATGATTTCACTTATATGTGGAATCTAACAAACAAAATAAACAAACGGAAACAAACTCACAGCTACAGAGAACACTTGATGGTTGCCAGGTTGGGGGGGGGGGGGGGGGGGGGGGGGGG